TAAAGAATTGGATGTCTCCATATTATCTGCAATTAAATGACTCTAAGACTCAGCTTATAGTCTTTGGACCTAGAAAGGTACTAAATGAGATTGAACTTCATGGGGTTGAAATTGCTCCTAACACATTAGTTATGTTTGTCCCCACCGTTAAGAATTTAGGGTTGGTTATGGACAATCAACTAGTGTTTGATAAACAAATTATAAATCTCAAGAAGAAATGCTTTCATACCTTGCACAATATCAGGAAAATCTGCTTCCTTTTGAATCTCAAACAGATTTAAGTCATCGTTAACAGTCTAGTGGTATCATGTCTAGATTATTGTAACGGTTTATATTTTGGTATTGGCGAGAAGCTTTTACATCAGCTTCAGTTACTACAAAATGCTGCTGCAAAAGCCGTTACTGGTAAATATAAGCATGACCACCTGGAAGACGACCTGACTAATCTTCACTGGCTGGATGTAAAGAAAAGGATTGTGTTCAAAATATTACTGTTGTCTCACAAATCATTATTAGAGCTCGCTCCAACGTATATTCAAGACATGTTTTGGTACACTCATCATGGTCAAACATTGAAACTTATGGTTCCATCGTTCAACTCTAAGTTTGGCGAGCGAAGCTTCTCAGTCGTGGCTCCAAAGATCTACAACCGTCTGCCTACTATCATCACATCAGCTGAATCCCTGGAATATTTTAAAGCATTTCTAAAAACTTTCTTATTTAAATTGTCTCAGCATGAACTTGAAAAACTTTATCAATGACTGATTTTGGCCTATATTTTGTGTTAGTTCTTTAGTTTTAAGTTTCACTAATATGAACGATATATTTTCAAGTATTTGATAGCAGTCCTAACTTTTATCACGATAGTTTCTGGGATGACTAGATTAAACACTGCTGAGTATAAGTTTATCTTAATAGTGGTGTTCTTAAACTTCAATTTCTTATTATTATTAAACAAATTTTATAACCTTATAGCTGGAGTATTTAGTAATGCCCTATTGATGCATACACAATTAGCATAGCAGTATTGCTGAAATTAATGAAACAAGCATTTAATAATTGAGTAAAATAAATATTGTGGAGCTAAATTTACAGTAACAACTTCACTGCTTTTCAGTTCTGCCATGCTATCTGTAGTTTACACAGAACATGAAATACCGACAAAGTAACGAAGTTAACAAAAAAAAAGGAGAATCAATGATCAAATAAATTACGTCGCATTCCGCAAAATCTCTATTCATATGTTTATGAACATTATAGCTTGGGGTCCCCCAGGTAATCTCATTTGGTTCACATACTATATAATAGTAGCTTTATTTGAAAATTCAATTAATCATTATATATATAAATCAAGCGTTACATTTCAGCCATGCAAAATTACAATGACATATTTTGATTACTAAATGATAAATGGTACTGCAATATAAGTTGCTTAATGTTTGGCCGGATGACAACTAACGAGAAAAATAAACTTGATTAAATATAATAATTAATTCGGCTGAACCAACACATAGCAAGAGCCACATTAACGTTGGGGCCGTGTACCAAATTTGAATGACAAACATTAACAAGAAATCAAACATATCATAAATAATTATAAGGATTTTGTTCATTACAATTCCGTCACAACTGATAAAGAAATAAGAAAAGGACAAGCAGATGGGAAATTGGACGGACAGAATTGTAACCAACAAAAACAAATTTCTGAGACTCATAAGACTGATGAGCTAATCTGGCCAGACAGTATCGGCAGCCCAGAGGTACTTGATCAGTTTGGCCTTAAAAGTAGAAATCCGCTCTGACTGCCGGATACATACTGGTAGACTATTCCAATTCAGCATAGATCTATGAAAAAAGCTATTTCGGAAGGCATCCGAGCAGGGCACAGTGGTACTCATGTAAGTTGAAGTATCCGACATATCAATTATTTGAGCATTGTGCCTAGTGTATCGGGTGCCCTCTGGACGGCATAGGACTATATATGTAGGGAGCGAAACTGGAATTATGCTATTCACTATTTTATAGAAGGTCATAAGATCGTTATAAATAAACTTCTGTTTAACAGGGAGAATATTTAGTTTCTTTTGCTCTGTAGCAAGTTTATCGTCATTATAACTGGAGTAAGGTTCACCATTGATCCATTTAATAGCCCTCTTTTGGATAGCAACAAACTGTTGAAGATGAGTTGCAGATTGAGGGGACCATATGACAGAACAATGTTCAAATATAGACCTAATTAACGCTAAATAGAACGATCTTTTCTGCCTTTTATCAGTAGTGAAATGACATGTTCTCTTAAGTAGTCCAAGTCTAGATGTAGCTTTGGAAACAAGCGCTTTACATTGTGCACCCCAATTAAACCTGGAGTTTATTGCGACTCCTAAATCTGACTGAGAGGGCACAAAGTCAATATCACTTCCAGAAAGTTTATAAAAGAAGGTATTGAATGGCAAGTTATCCAGCACGTTTCTTTGCAGGGACACAGAGAGGGCTTTGCACTTTTGTGGGTGGAACTTCATTCGATTTCTCACTGACCAATCATATAATCTATTGATGTCATTTTGGATTATGTGATGGTCAGGGTAACCAAGAATCTCCCTCCAAATTTTAGTGTCATCTGCATAAAGGGCGATATTGGTGCCTTCAGAGACACAGGAGAACATGTCATTTATAAATATTACAAACAATAAAGGGCCGAGTATAGAACCTTGAGGGACACCAGACCGAACTGGTAGAGAAGAAGACGTTTGGCCTCCTATCACTACTTGTTGTTGTCGCCCCTCAAGATAGGACTTAATAAATTTAAGCATTAGTCCATCGACATTAAAAATATTCTTTAATTTACTTAAAATGAGGTTATGCGAAACGCTATCAAAGGCTTTCGCAAAATCAAAATATATTATATCAGTCCTGGACCTGTTATTCAATGCAAGTGCAAGATTGTCTGTGAAAGGTATCATTTGGGTTGTGCATGAGCGTTCATTAACAAAACCGTGTTGTCGGTCATCCAACAGATCAGAACACGCAGCGTATAATGCAGTCTTTATGCACCTTTCAAAGACTTTCATTACAAGAGATGTTAACGAGATAGGCCTGTAGTTCTCAACCGAAGATTTATCGCCCTTTTTGTGCACTGGTACTACAAGTGCCAGCTTCCAATCAGGGGGTGTGCATCCGCTCGAGAAAGACAGGTTAAATAAAACACTAAGTGGGTATGCAAGGCTTTGGGCACAGTTTTTGAGGACTCTCCCATGAATCCCATCAGGGCCAGGGGCCTTGTTAGGATTTAACTTTTTAAGAATCAACAGAACATCTTCTCTACTAAACACAAGACTTGAAAAACAATCATCACGAAAATCTATGTCAATGCCATAATCGCTCTCTTGAGAAAACTGCTCATAAAAATATTCGTTAAAAAGGGCAGCTTGATCAGATGGATTGTTTCGAAAGCGATTATGATATTTGACAGTTTCAGGGATCCTGGTTGACTTTGATTTAGATTTAACGTAGGTCCAGAATTTCTTGGAGATAAGAGCATCATCGGAGTCATCCTCAACACTGAGTCTCATTCTTTCGTCCATCAAATTTTTAAATTTTGTGCGAAATGCACGAAACTTTTGTTTATGAGACTCAGAGTTGCTCCCCTTATGCCTTATTCTCCATTTCTCCTTATTTCGTAGGAGGCGATCACATTCGGAGTCATACCATGGGGGCTGGAACTGAGACTTAATGGTCTTTTTAGGGATCCATCGGTCACAGGCTGCACCGAGAACTCCTCTGAATCGACTCCAGGCAAGATGGGGCAATCCTGTGCCTCATGACTTGCTGTGCACCAGGCTTCATGATGTTCAGTGTGCCATTGGTGGCAGGGAGGGTGAAGTCTGCGTTAATCAACTCTTGGGCTGGCCTTGACCTAGAGGCCCTAGTTGTGCGTTGTTCTACTTGGGTTGTATCGAGCACAAACTCAAGTGACCGTGGAGCCCCTATAGAGTAAGTGCAAATGGAGCTGGACTGTGATATTATTAGGTCTTCATCGTCCTTATGGAGGCTTAACTTAGCTTGCTGAGTGTCGTACCTAGTAACAAGGCAAGCATCCATGTTGTTGGTGGTGGAGGGGAGGTCATTAATAAGTCCCATCAACTTAAAGATGCTAGGGAAGTTGTTGATGGGATGTGGCTTGTTAACTATGTTACCAAAGCAGTAGTCTTCTGATGAAGGGCTTAGCCATAAGGTGTGGACTTTTTTAGATTTGCCTTCAAGATTCATTGAATCTAATTCTTCTGTGATTTTCTTGAATAGATTTTCATCCATTCCAGGGAGGACTGGGACGTGCTCTACGAGCGCATGTGGGCTATACGAGACATTTTGAACAGTAGTTTCCTTCTTCGTTTTCTTTTCCTTCTTCTTTTCATCTAACCGTTCTATTTTAGAAGTAAGCTTTTCCTCTTTCAGACTGTCCAGGATACTCTGAGTGAGGAGGGTATGCATGTGTTGCTTAACTTCAAGAGATAGGTTTTGCAGTAAGGTGAGGAAGTTGGCGGGCAGTGTTGGCATCTTGTTGTGAAGTGTGGGAGGATCGGGAGGAGACTGGGTGATCCGGATAAGAGATCAACAGCAGGATGTTTCAGTGGCACCGTTATAAACCCTAGCAATCTGGATCTGAAACAGTTAATAGGCCAGAGATTTATAGTTCAGAGTGAAAAAATTTGAATTATAATGAACAGAGTTGTCGTAAAGAACTGTATAGCAGAAAAAAGAATGCAATACTTATCTAAGGGAGAAGTAGCTAAAAGGAGTTAATAAATTAATTTCAAACATCACTAGATCTCTAACAATAAAACTAACCTCGTACCAGACCGCAGGAGCCCTGGCAGTACAAGACTACCAGGGCAATAGGAAGAAACGATTACCACCTCCACAATCTGCCATCTAACTCAGATCCATCACACCCAGGACACCGGCAGACTTTACTCCAACGGATTACTCATCGGTAGCCATGACTCAAATTATTTGTTATATAGTAGTGTTGAAAGTATTAAAAAAGCTAGAGGTATTAAAAAAGCTAGAGGCTTAATTTTTGTACGCGGAGCGACCCAGCTCAGTTAAGTATTTAAGCATTACGTTACAATTTACAAACTTGTGATTTTTATTTTGTTTTACTTAAATTTTGTTTTACTTATGCAGTACCAGTGACCAGTTAATCCTTGTATCACGTCGTGATCCCCATTGTCGTTTCACTATAGTGAATTGTAGAGTACAGGGGAGAGATACAGGGGAGCCGCGCACTCGTGCGCGGCGGATCAAACAACGTATGACAATTAGTTAATTCCGATTTACAAATATAATTATCTTTATCTTACTGTATATAAAGCGAGACAATATAGTTTAATACATATCCATGTACCATTTTTTCACTGTATTTAATCATCAACTAGACAGTGCATGTAAACTAAACCAGCCTAAGTGTTCTAGACGTACTGCTAAGAATAATCCATGGATTACATCAGGCCTGATTGCCTCTATAAATAGAAAACATGAGCTTTATGACCTGTGGAAAAAGGCAGTTAAGAAGAAATGCCTCAACGCCTCTTCAACCAACCATGCAGACTGTCTTACCCTTTGTTTTAATTGTACAAATAAAGTAACACGTCATGAAGAATTTAAGGCACACCGGAAGTTATTAAACCACCTTATTAATTCTGCAAAACGTAAGTATCATGGTGTTAAGATTACAGAATGCGCTGGAGATAGTAAGAAAACTTGGCAGATAATTAATTAGAATTAGAATTAGAATTAGAAACAAATTTACACAGCAATACAATAAGAATAAAAAATAATTTAAGAAGCTTCAATCTGCTGTGCAGGACATTCAAGTCAGTCGAAAACTGTTAGCAGAACACCCTTCTAGGGACATAAGGATATAGTATGTAAAACATAATGAGTAATAACTTAATGAGTGATAAAATAAGATATGATTTAACAGTGAACTGTGGGCATGAAGGTAACAATTAAGATTACATAGATGCCCACTTTGGGATTACGTTCTAGTAATGTTATTTACAGTTATTATATACAGAGAAGTATAGAACAATAATAGATTGGCAATGATAACAAATGGGAACGAATAAAGGAGATGTTTAAAGTTCTATACTTCTGTAAATAGGTCATATATAACGCAGGGGGCCTTTCCACCCGACAAAAACTCCAGCACCATAAAATTTGTTTCAGTTGTCACATAGCTAGAGTGTAGAAATAGTCGAAACTATTGTTTATTTCATAGGATGAGACTCCTTGAATTACATCTGACATATATTTAGATTTCATACATTGTGAGAATTTTACACTACATTCTATAGTCCTTATGTTCTCTGGAATTGTATTCCAACATTTTGCACCTAAATATGTAAAGGTTTTGTGTGTTCTGGATTTATGAATATAAAGGTTGCACCTCTCAGCATCACGTGATCCCCCGGATACATAAGAAAATTTATCTGTGAATGATGATGGTGCAGCCTCATTAAGAATTTTATACATATACGTTGATAGATGGAGTTGTCTTCTTAAGTGTAAGGGTAACCACTTCATATTTCGATATACATTTACTGATGGTTCCTGCCAATGAACATCCAGAGCAATTTTTGCTACTTTCTTGTATAATATATCAAGAGAATTAAGTTTGGTTTTGGCAGCCCTACACCATATTATATCCAGGTAGTCAAATTGGGGGAGCATAAGAGCATTTACAAACATTTTTCTATATTTCAGTGGAAGAAGATTTTTCGACCTGTATAATGCCCCTATTCTTTTAGCTATTTTTGATTTCACATAATCAATATGGTCTTGAAAGTTCAATAAATTGTCTATCATGAGACCTAAATATTTTTGAGATTTAGTTTCTTCTATAAATAGGCATTCTTTTTCCAAATCCAGAGGGATTGACAACGTGTCCAGATTAGGTGATCTATCAAATACAATGAATGAAGATTTTGCAGCATTTAGTCTCAGCTTGTTGATTCTAAGCCATTCATACACAATTTTCATATCCTTAATTACATTCTCATATATGCCTCGGGAAATGTTATCAAAATATAGTGCACTGTCATCTGCAAATAAGTAAACAGTAGATTGTGTGCAATTTCTACTGAGATCATTTATGAATAAACTAAATAGAATTGGTCCTAATATGCTACCCTGTGGCACACCTGTTTTAACAGGGAGTGATGTGCTTACATTACCACGTATTTTGGTGTGCTGCTTTCTGTCCCCAAGGTAGCTTTTGAACCACTTTATGACAAAGCCATCAACTCCATAATACTTAAGTTTTTTTAATAAAATATTATGGCTTACTGTGTCAAAGGCCTTTTTAATATCTAAGAATACAATTGCAGGTTTCTTCTGTGATTCCTTTGACGTAAATATTTTATCAAATAGATTAAGCATTAGAAAAGTGGTGGAATGATCTTTTCTAAATCCATACTGATGATTGGTAAGCAGTTTATTTGTTTCAACATACTCTGTAAGCTGTTGGTTAACAAAATATTCTATGCATTTTCCAAGTAGGGGGAGTATGGATATTGGCCGGTAGTTATTTGGATCATTAGGGTCACGGGTTTTAAGAATTGGAGTGACTGATGCAATTTTACATGCCAACGGCATTGTTCCACTTTTCATACTAAGGTTTATAATATGAGCTACTGGATCGATGATTTGGGGAATAATATACTTATATACTTTAATGGGCATGATATCGTTAATCGATTTATCTGATGGTATACTGAGTATATATTCTTTTACTTGTTCAACAGTCACCTCTTCGAATACAGAGAGTTTACACTCTGTTGGAGGCGGCATATATTCTAAGAAGTCGTCTGAATCCTTTTCCTTAATCGATTCTTGTATTATTGTACCAACTGTGGCAAAATGCAGGTTAACTCCGTTAACATTTAAGTTGCTTGGGGAAGAGCTACTTATTTTTCCAGGTAAGTTTGAAGCATGTTTGATAGTTTTCCAAATACCTTTCAAATCGTTTTTTGCACTTTTCACAGTAAGGTCCTGAACAATATTTGTACGTCTGTTTTCTTTGGATAATTTTGTCACATAGTTTCTTTGGGGACGATAGTTATCCCACGAAGTAGAGCATTTCTTATGTAGTTCACTTTTTCTGCATTTACATATTCCATTAATACAATTACACTTGAATTTGTTTAATTGTCCTAAACACTTTTTATACTTTCTGAAAAGCATCTTCTTCTTCCGTATTTCTGCCAACAGTTCTTTAGAGGGATTACAAAGAAAGTTACTATTACATTTTATCTGTTTAGGTGGACAGTAATTGTCATACGATTCCTGGATGTGTTGATTAAGTCCATCTAGGGCATGGTCTACATTAGTACAGCTTAGAATATTACTGTAGTTACTGCAGGATCCCAGTACTGTAGTAGTTTACGAGAGCACTGTTGTAAACATAATCCGGGAGTAACACATCAAGATATGAACAGATAGCAGCCAGATAGGACTGATGTGGTATCTCCTTCGCCTCGTGACTTCCCCCATTATACACATATGGGAAGTCCCCAAAGTAAGCTGTTTTCCTATTTTGAAACTGGTGGCTAAAATCCAATTCTCTCAGGAAGATGTCTAAGGAGAATTTTTGAAACGGTGCCTGATCAATGAGTTCAACAGGTGGTATGATAATATCAGGGCTTTCGTCATTTACACTTAAGGCCACACTAGATATGGGTGTTACATCTATTTCAGCATAATACTTGCCACTCCATGGATTGACAGATCCTGTACTCCCACTGATTTGATTTTCTGTGTTGTTGGAAATGATAGAATCTGGTGCTTCAATGATGCCATCACTATTGATTAGCATGAAAGATTCAGGCACCTCGCATTCACTGTCATATTCAATCTGATCGTTTTCAAATTCTGTCTGAACTGCAACATCTGAACACCTATCCAGGACAGCCCGATAATCTATTGACTGATTGGTACTTTGATGTAACAACGTACCATTAATCTCTGCTATAGTCTGAGAAGTTTGAACAATGTCTTCTAGGATGATCACTTTCCGCTCGAGAAACTTGACATGAGATTTGAGTGCAGTACAGTTTTTGCATTTTTGATCACATTCCGACAATAGTTTTCCAAAAAATGTTTCCATTGAATCGTCCATGATATTGAGTTGATGATTTGAATTAAGTTGTTGATTTGAATTGAAGCAAATTGAAGAGTTCACATGTGAGATTTGTTCCATTCCATTAACATTACATTCGTATTACATTCGTATTACTTTGGTCATACCTCAATAAATGTAATAGATTTGTAGTGTTGTAATTAGTGTTGTAATTAGTTTAAAACTAATTAGTTTAAAACTATGAACTGCGTGGTAAGAAGAGACGTGAGATTAAACCTAACTTTGTGATAAATAACGAGCGTGTGATTAATCGGCGTGTAATTGCAAATGAGTTCAATAAATACTTTGCCTCTATTGCAGCTAACTTGAACGAAGCTTACTCTGGTGACTTCTTAAGAATAAATTCCCTGCCATCATTTACTGATTACCTGCCCACATCAGTTACGTCCAGTATTTTTCTTTGTGATTGTGACTGTATTGAGATTAAGGAGATCATAAACGAACTAAAAAACGGGAAATCTAGTGACATACCTATTCATGTGATCAAGAAGTCGTGTCAAATTACTGCACCGTACTTAGCTAGATACTTTAATAAATGCATGCAAGAAGGCCACTTTCCCGATGAATTAAAAACTGGGAGAATCAGCCCCATTTACAAAAAAGAAGATGAACAGCTTTTAGAAAACTATAGACCAGTATCAACTCTACCTGTATTCGGGAAAATTCTAGAAAAGTTAATATATAAGCGGCTCTATAGTTTCCTTACTTCCAAGGGTATAATACATGAAAACCAGTTCGGCTTTAGAAAAGGACACTCCACCAGCCATGCACTGAACTACTCTGTAGAACATATAGAATCGTTAATTAGTAAAAAGCAACATGTCCTAGGGGTCTTTATCGATCTCTCAAAAGCCTTTGACACTCTAGACCACTGTAAACTAACTACAAAGTTAAACAACTATGGCATAAGAGGAAATGCTCTGAATCTTATCTCTAGTTATTTGTCTAATAGGAAACAATTTGTAAACGTTTTGGATACCAAATCTGATGAATTACCGGTTGAATTCGGGGTCCCTCAGGGTAGTGTATTAGGACCTCTACTTTTCCTACTGTACATCAATGACATATGCAATATAACTAAAAAGGGTAAATTTGTCTTATTTGCAGACGATACTAATATATTTGTCGCTGCCGATTCGAGAAATAAAGTATACGAATTGGCTAATGAAGTACTACAGGCCGTAAACAAGTATATGGGAGTTAACCTACTGCACATTAATGTAAAGAAGTGTTGTTACATGTATTTTTTTTCCCTCTAAACGTAATAATAACGAATTAGATGCCGATATAGATAGCCAAAACTTGTCCATTAATAACAAAATAATTAAACGTGTAAGTCAGACAAAATTTCTCGGAGTAATCATGGACGATAAATTGAGCTGGAAACCACATATATCATCCCTCAACAAGAAACTAAGCAGTGCTTGTGGACGTATCTACCGTATTAAGAAATGCTTACCAGAATCACTATATAAGCAAATATATCATTCCCTCTTTGAATCACACCTAGGTTATGCTATTTCTGTCTGGGGAGGTATTCCCAATAATCAGTTAAAACCGCTATTTATTACTCAAAAGAAGTGTATCAGGATTCTATTTGGAGACTATGAAGCTTATGTAGACAAATTCAAAACATGTGCTAGAGCAAGACCAATTAATTCTCAACGTCTAGGATCTGAATTCTATGTTAAAGAGTCCACTAAGCCTCTATTCACAAAACATGAATTACTTGTTACAGAGAACCTGTACCGATACCGTTGTTTAATGGAACTTTTCAAGATCATTAAGTCACGAGTACCAATTTCGTTATACTACTTATTCAACATATCAAATAGGAAAGATAATCTGTTCATTACACCCTCTCCAACTAATCAATTTATTTATAAATCTGCATGGCTTTGGAACGAATTCCGTAAAGTTGGCCCGTTAAATTTCACCTCCACATGCGGATCTGTCAAGAATTTACTTAAACAGTCACTTCTAAGAGCTCAAAACCGGTATGGAACTGAGTGGTGTGACAGAAATTTCACTGAATTCTGATTATGAAGTGATATTCATTTGCCCGTTATTCCCACTTAAGCACTTACTGACTCAATGAAACTAATAAATCAATGAAACTAATAAATCAATGTTTTAGCTCATTTTACAAAGTCAAATATTTAAAACAATTAAAATTGTATAGTGCTCAATTTGTAAATGACTAGTTGATCTTTGCTATTGGAAGTTTGTCAAGGACTGGCAGCTAGCGGGGCAAGGAATGCACGGGCTTAGGGGCTTTTGTGCACACCAGAACACTAGCTCGGTAGATTTTTGGAAACTAGAAGGACTGAAAACTAAAATTGTTTTTGATGGAGGCTGAGGCATGTTTTTGAGAGGGACGGTATAATAGCTTGTGGTAACAACTGGCCTTTACTTTAATAGGATGAAGTTTTAGTTTTAGGACAGGAAGAAGGCATTAAGAAGATTTGCTCTTTGTTTACAAGGCAGAATATAAGCAATGTTGGTTATAATATGTATCAATATCTAGATCTTCGTTTATCAATTTTCACTAAATGGGTTTAAAATTTTAATAGGGAGGGAAATTCATCAACTTTATTAAGTACCTATCAAAAATAAATCTTATATCAATGTAATATATTAAAAATCATAATCCTAAGTCTAATAATAAATCTGTTAAAAACACTTTCTCACTACACTGCGCTCACACACGTTAGTAAGACAAAGGAAAATGCACACCCAGCTAATTTTCTATTTCAAGATAATCATTTTGGATGTGTGGACCCTAGGGTAGACTTAATGTCAAAATTTAGATTAGAGCATTCGAAATCTTTGTTTGTCCAATCAAGATCAGCATGGTTATGCTGGTTGACGAGCAGTGATTGCTTCATCCTAGACTTCAGGCAGGCCACACTTAGACAGTAGTCACGTATACCAAGCTTAGGCACAATTACGTTCCAAATACGAGTCGTTCTGCTATTGAAGTTGTCAGGAGGGTCTGCTTGGCTTAGTATAAGGGTGGGTTTCCTACTTGAGCAGGTGAAATTTTCATGGAGGGAAATCGGAGCACGGAATTTCATGATTTTATAGAGCTCAAGGAAACAATGGTAAGTGTACAGGTTTTGGACGGCAAGTATTCCGTGTTCCTTGAACAAAGGTTTCGTGTGCTCTTTCAAGAAAAATTTTTTGTTCAGATTTTGGTTGCCAAACGGTCGAGCACGAGCACAGGTCTTAAATTTATCTAGGTATGCCTCCCTGTCGCCAAACAGTACCCTGAGACAATATTTTTGTGCTTTGAATACAGAACTTATACGAGTTTTGGCTGCCCCACCCCAAACCGTGATACAATAGGAGAGGTGTGATTCAAATAGAGTGTAATACAACTGGCGGTGTAAGAAATCTGGGAGGGAGCAGCGTAGGCGGCAGAGAGTTGATGTTGCATGGCTGAGAGAACGCCTAAGTGATTTTATATGTTCTTCCCAGGTTAGCTTTTCATCGATGACGACTCCCAGAAACTTAGCAGATGCAACTTGTTTTATTGGAAAGTTATCAATGGTTAGAGTATATTCAGAATTATTGTCAGTCTGGGAGGACGATGCTGGTTTAAAGTGAATGAAACAGCATTTAGACAAGTTGACATGGAGTTTGTTTGCTCGCATGTAGGAATATAAACTAGCTAAAAGAGAATTACCACGCATATATGCCTCCTTTTTAGATTTCCCAGTCACAAATATATTGGTGTCATCAGCGAAGGTGACAAATGATCCCAAACTGGAGCTGTTGGCGATATCATTAATATATAGGAGAAATAAGAGAGGTCCAAGAATCGAACCCTGAGGGACTCCAAACTGTATTTTCAAGGCGTCAGATTTCTCACCAACAACTTCAGTATATTGTGATCTATTTGTTAAGTAACTTTTTATAAGATCATTTGCCACCCCACGTATCCCATAGCCCTGTAATTTGACAAGTAATGTACCATGATCTATTGTATCAAAAGCTTTGCTAAGGTCTATGAATATGCCTAAGACATGATGCTTAAGTTTTAGAGATTCAGTTATAAGGTTTACTGAGTGATTAACTGCATGTGAAGTAGAGTGTGACTGCCTGAAGCCAAATTGTGTTTTAGATATTATACCCTGTGAGCTAGCAAACGAATATATTCTTGAGTAAATGATCTTTTCAAAGATTTTACCAAATATAGAGAGAGTAGAGATTGGGCGGTAGTTTTCTATCTCTTCAGGGTTTCCCTTCTTAAATACAGGAGTTATTCTACCAGTCTTTAGAACGTCGGGGAACGTGCCATTAGACATTAAGATGTTGATGTATCGACTAAGGATCGGTGTAATTACGTGAGATGATCTTTTGATTACACTAACAGGAATATCACTTGCTTTTCCATTTTCAAATCCTTTTATTATTTCCGTTATCTCATAAGGTGTACAGTCTTCTAACATAATCGATTTTTCATGAGTCTTTCCAAGGAAATCATAGAATGTTTTTATAGGGAGAATTGGTAAACCAGAGGCCTCACTGCTACTAAGTGTTTCATTGAGCTTAGGGGCAATAGAAACAAAGTAAGAGTTGAATCCATTGGCTATGACTCTACGATTCATGATTCGTTCGTTGTTTATGATAAAGGGAGGCTTAGTTTGCTTCTTTTTCTTGCCCCTGAGCTCATTGATTATCTGCCACGTTTTTTTGCTGTTTTCTATATTTTTATGGATTTCATTGCAGTAGTACGATCGTTTGGCGACCTTGATAATACTTTTAAGCATTCTTCGGTAGTCACTGAAGACTTTATAGAGCAGTACATTACCCTCAGGGTTTCTATTTGTTACAGTGCTTGACCAGTCTCTACAGAGTTCATGTTTTCTTTCAACTGAGACAATGATTCCATCGGTAATCCACGGGTTGAGTTTGGGAGTCCTTTTGGTAACTTTTGGTACATCAAGCTTACAGTGTTTATCAAGTGTTTCATTGAAGCAGTCCAAGAACTCATTGAAGTTTACCGAGGGAGTTAAGTCATTCACCTTCACCTCGAGTTCATTAACAAAATTAGTGAGTTTGGAACTTGAATAATCATAGTAGCGAACATGTTTAAGTTTTTCAGTACTGTTTTCGGTAGGAATTGACGTGAAGG